CCCCCCGCTTGCCCTTGCGAAGGCTTTCCACGTCTGTCTTTAAACCTCTGAAGCTTTAGCAGCCATCGCACGGCCAACTCCTAATTGATGACTTTACGCCGCGTACGGAGCTCCGTCTTCACCACGAGGAGGCGGGGCTAACCTTCGGTGAGCTCCTGCTGGCATTTTGGCGCCATTCTAGCGTGGTGGTTCGAGTGACTGCCTTATGTAACAAATAGGAGTCTGTGTAAAGCTGACGGGTTTTTTTTTTGGGGGGGGGTCTCATTACTCTGTCACTTAGCAAAGGAGACATGAGGCGTTTTTTTTTTTTTTAGATTCGATAGGCTTTTCACTTGTGGAGGCAGCACTTCATCATCAGAGCTCCCAAATTGGAATCGAGAATGCCATTTTTGTCGGAATCTCTCCGGAATGACTGTCTGGTTGTTGGAATGCTTCAGGCGCTTGTTTCATTTCCCGCGCGGTGGGTGGACGGCACGCGCGCCGCTCGCTCTTTGGACCATTTGTAGCCAAGCCAATTGAAAAGCGAATTTTCCATCAAGTGTCCCCTTTAAGATAAAGACTCTGTGAGCAGGAGGTCAGATAAGATTTCTTGTTTGTTCAACTCAAGGAGATGGAGTTGGCTCCACTCTCGGGCTGCCTTTGTTTGGGCGGAAAATGGCCAAGCTCGCGTCTGTTTGGGTTTTGGGCCGGTGTTGAAGGCCGTGTGCGTGCGTGCGTGCGCGCGTGCCGTGCGTGTGTGCCTCTACAAAAGGACACGTTTTTGTTTGGTTTTTGAAGAGGCCGTCAGCATGTGCCGCCACGGCAGCATCATCACCAGGACCTCCGTCCGATGAGGCCAATCCGAGGGCTGCTGAGGGGCGGTGTCATACGCTCAAAAATTTGGGAATGAATGAACAAACTGCCACACCAAACCCCCCGCCCCCACAGAGACACACATCTCAACTCAAGCATATTTCGAGAGGACTTGAAAACAAGCACCGCTGTCTCCAAAGTGCTGTACACAAAGCAACAAATGATTCAAACAACAACAAACTATAAATGACTAACAAAGACGGTAGAAAGTACAAAAACAGTCCAACTCAAATCAAAAGCCAAAGACTAAAAATGATGATTTTGAAAGATGGGCTCGCCGAGGGGGCTCATTCCAAAGAAAGGGAGGGGCCACGGAAAAGCCTCGAACCCCTGCGACCCTCCGCTTGGTTCTCGCTACCTCTAGTCGTGTCCCGTCCGCAGACCTTCGGCACCGGGCGGGAGCTCCGAGATGGTCAGGTGGGGCCAGGCCGTGTCAAGATTTGGAAAACAAATAAAAGGAAACCCCAAATGTGTCGGGGAGCCAGTGAAGGGATGGGGATGCCAGAGGGGGAGTGACGTGCTCCCTCTTTCCACGAGGAAAGGTCAAGAGGCGAGCGGCGGCATTCTGGACCAACTGGAGACACTTGATGGAGGATTGGCTGACTCCACAGTAAAACGCGTTGCAGTCATTTAGCCGAGACGAGCACGAACGGCCGTATCTCCAAGCGCTCGTCAAAAAAGGAGAGGCTTGACTTTCGCCAGCTGCCGAATCCCAAAGAAGCTGGATTTGACAACAGCACCGACACACCCGCACGCTGGCTATCGATTCGGATTTTCAAAATCAGGATTGACTTTGATTTTCGATGGAGTTCCAGATTCTCGGTGCCATTTGTTGAATGTGTCCTGATCAAAACAATGATCGCTGATATCAGCATTTCACTTGCAGACATCGGCTTCAGCTTGCGCCACGTTGTTTTGCTACTCTCGCCTCGTGATGAAATCTCGCGTCAAAGAGACATCGTAGAGGTCAATTCACATCAGGATACGAAAAGGAAAAGCGTTTTATTTTTGTTTGTTTGTCCCCACCCCAAACCAGCCCGGATTTGGGGCCAAGCCCCCCCCCCCCCCCCGCGCCTCGTCGGCGTCGTTGGCATTTGGATAGCGGCGTGAAAAAAGGGCAGGGGCCTAGGGTGGAAAAGTTTGCATCCAGTTTGTCAACGCTC